ATTCTAATATTTTTGGCTCTATACACCACCACAATGGATTTGAAATGAAACAAATGAAACCAACAAATGAAACAAATCCTATGCTTAGGATCATGAGCAGTTCCATTCCTTCTCCATACTCTTCTCTTCCCATCACTCTGGTACAAGTTGATCTTGGTCTCATCTTTCCATAGGATGTTGTTCCAGAACTGTGAAGGCTTTTTTAGATGTCGTTTGGCAAACTCTAATCTGGCCTTCCTGTTTTTGAGGCTCACCAATGGTTTACATCTTGTGGTGAACCCCTGTATTCACTCTGGGGAAGTCTTCTCTTGATTGTTGACTTTGACACACATACACACCTACCTCCTGGAGAGTGTTCTTGATCTGGCCAACTGTTGTGAAGGGTGTTTTCTTCACCAGGGAAAGAATTCTTTGGTCATCCACCACAGTTGTTTTCCATGGTCTTCTGGGTCTTTTGGTGTTGCTGAGCTCACCGGTGCGTTCCTTCTTTTTAAGAATGTTCCAAACAGTTGTTTTGGCCATGCCTAATGTTTTTGCTATCTCTCTGATGGGTTTGTTTTGTTTTTTCAGCCTAATGATGGCTGATAGTGACAGCTCTTTGGATCTCATCTTGAGAGTTGACAGCAACAGATTCCAAATGCAAATAGCACACTTGAAATGAACTCTGGACCTTTTATCTGCTCATTGTAATTGGGATAATGAGGGAATAATACACACCTGGCCATGGAACAGCTGAGAAGCCAATTGGCCCATTACTTTTGGTCCCTTAACAAGTGGGAGGCACATATGCAAACTTTTGTAATTCCTACACCGTTCACCTGATTTGGATGTAAATACCCTCAAATTAAAGCTGACAGTCTGCAGGTAAAGCACATCTTGTTCGTTTCATTTCAAATCCATTGTGGTAGTGTATAGAGCCAAAAATGTTAGAATTGTGTCGATCTCCCAATATTTATGGACCTGACTGTATATTTGCTTTCCTTCTGTTACTTGGGTATAGTTTTCATGGTGCTTAGCAGACTGTGCACTAACTTGCCTGTTGTATGTCCAATCCTGTTCCAACTGCCATTTACTAATCTGTATCAATATATTAAGGGTGTTTACCCCTAAATGGGTGTGTTTATTTATTGGCATTACCCAGAGCAAAGCGAAATTGTGTTGTTACTTGTGCTCGCAGTGATTTTATTCAAACAAGTGTGTCAGTGGAGCTGAGGTTGTTCTTGGAGTCGAGGCACAGGACAGAGGACCCAAAATTGCCAAGCGGCTCCTTTGGCAGTGGCCCTATGCATATATACAGTGCATGTATGGGGTAGGGTGGTGGTTGTCTGTCATGTCCTCCATGTTTCCCAATTAAATCATTGGGTGCCAAGCAAGGATCACATGAGAAGCCTACCCACCCCCCCCCCCCCCCCCGGTGGGTTCTTCTGGGCTATGGTAGGCAATCTTGTAAAGGGTCTCTCTCTACTTCACACATACGGGTTACCTTTACTTTGTGCCGTTTTCACCAATGACCTGGGACAAGGTTTAGTTTCCCGTCAGGGAATATTCAACCATAAAGCAGAACTACACTGCATCTGAGCACTACAAATCAAAAATGCTATTTGATTCATTTTCAATATTCAAAGCAAACTCACCCATCCATCCATGTCTCCATGCTTTATTTTGCTGAGAAATCACCCCCCCTAGCATATCTGGCCGTGGCCATCTTAAGTAAGGACAGATTCATGTAGCATTTACTTCCTAGAATCCATCTGCCCTTAGCTCAGGCATGCAGGTAGGATGGTGTGCTTAGCTGAGAAAACCCCTCCTCCTTTCCTAAAGACTCCTGGGATGTGTGACATAATTTGCGTAGGCATGGAAACTAGGAAGTAACTGAAAAAAACATGAAAAAAAAAAAGTGTAAAACAAGTAAATATGGTATACTTTCCTATCTATTTACTAATGCTAGCAGCATAATGTTTAAAAATAGTCAATGTTGACTGAAAGATTGAAGTTCCACTTTAAGGCAGGTCTCTACTATTAGAGATGAACATACAGTGTGTACACTTGCACAACAGCTGTTTTTCAGTTACTTTCGGATCCCCATGTAAATGTACATCTTCCCACTGTAGCTTACAATTAGGCGGGCCATGCCGAACTCGTATTACAGCCACCTGGCAGGCGGTTTTCACTACTGGTCCTGGTAGCAGCATGGAACCCTGCCATGCACAAAGCGTAGGCTCCAACGTGCATTTGACTTTAACTCTTGAACGCAAGGACTCTGAAACAGAGTCCTTCCGAGGCATTCTCCAGCACTGGTGTCTTTGCGGCAAACCCCAACTTCTGCCAACTTTGCATCTTGGTGGCAGACTGTGACATCTTTGTACTTCTCTTGGGTGTAGCCCTCCTAGGGGGACTGGGTAAACGAGCAAGACTGCTGAACACAGAAGAAGCAATGCCAGGCAATCACTCGGTTTGCTGTTCCATTTTATATCACAGGTGCAGTGGGTCAGACCCAAAGATCCCAACAAAAAGCCAAGCAACGGCATTAACCCTTACTCTCCCATCCGGGGCAGCACCTATCTAACTCGTTTCAACCTGCGTACAAACCGTACATACATATATCACAAAAATGGTATAAAGACACGCTTTTCACAAAATTTCCAAAATTAACCATAAACCGACCAGCAAATACACTCATCCATTCATCAGAAGACCAACCTCTAATATACTGGCTAACACATTTCAAGGCAGCACCTCTTGCTATAGATTCAAGCTATTTTATGATCAATTTGAAAAACAACACCATGAAAACAGAATACAAAAACATTTGAACTGTTAATGACATGCAAATCAGGTTGCTATGTAAATGTAAAACTCAATATTATAAATGTTAGTACCTCCCACTATTAAGAAATTAGTTATTTATAAATTGATAGTTATTGCATTTTAGTTATCATCATGTTATTTCATAACAGGACCATAAAGCTTGAATGCTTTCCTGTTCTTTGGACAAATGTACATTTATGACAGAGTTGTACTATGAAACCTCTGTTCAAGACATTGAATAAACAAGATCTGGAAAGTGATTATAATAGATATAATATATTTACGTACATTCTAGCTTTGAAGTAAGCAGCATTTGGAAGCGGTTTCAGAAAATCCTCTTTAGATTCGTTTGATCAAATGTGTTGACTAATAAAGGGCACATGGACTGGATCGAGAAAAATTTGTATCATAAATATAAACATAAGACGTTAAGGAGCAGATTTACTAAAACTGGAGCACTCAGAACCTGGTGCAGCTGTGCATGGTAGCCAATCAACTTCTAACCTCAGTTTGTTCAGTTGGGCAGCACAGTGGCTAAATGGTTAGCACTTCTGCCTGGCAGTACTAGGGTCGTTGGTTCGAATCCCAACCATGGCACCACCTGCCTGGAGTTTGCATGTTCTCCCTGTGCCTGCGTGGTACTCCGGTTTCCTCCCACACTCCAAAGACATTCTGGTAGGTGAATTGGATCCTGTCTAAATTGGCCCTAGTATGTGTATGTATGAATGTGAGTTAGGGACCTTAGATTGTACGCCCCTTGAGGGTTAGGGACTGCTGTGAATGTACAATATATATGTGTAAAGTGCTGCGTAAATTGACGGCGCTATATAAGTACCTGAAATAAATAAATAAAATAAATAAATTAAGCTTTGGTAATAAAACCTGGAAGCTGATTGGTTTCTATGCAGAAATGAGCCTGATTTTGCACTTTCCATCTTTAGTAAATAAACCCCTAAGAGTCTGATATATGATTGTCTTCTAATAGCAAAAATAGCCATTAAACAAACTGGCCAGCCCGAATCGTAAGCTGTACCATTTTGAAAGACCCCAATTTGCATAGAGTTTATAGCTATTTAAAATTGCTGCACATGAGCTACTAAATTGCTGAAATCAGAAATAGTCTCTAGATGATTTGATATCATACAGAGCTGAGACAATACAACATCAATTTTTGCCAGTGAAAATATTTATTGAGATTTTGAACTTAGTACAGGTCAAGTTAAAATGGAACTTTACCCATAATAAATGGATAAAAAAATAATGTTCTTTAGCAAGGAACATACATTCCACATTAATATTTATGCTGCCAAAATTAGTGTGTGCTGTAAATTGCCTCCAGCATTGCTACTGTTTCTTCTTGCTGGATGCTCCCATTTTGCTGAAGCCCAGAGCCCCGAAACAGCAGTAAATCATAAAGTGGAACTAATCCCATCGATTCACCGTATTTTTCGCTCCATAAGACGCACCTAGATTTTAGAGGAGGAAAACAAGAAAAAAAAATTCTGAACCAATGGACTGCAGACATAGTACAGGAAATGACCAGAGACTGCAGACATAGTACAGGAGATGACAAGAGACTTCAGACATACTACAGGAGATGACCAGAGACTGCAGACATAGTACAGAAGATGACCAGAGACTGCGGACATAGTACAGGAGATGACCAGAGACTGCGGACACAGTACAGGAGATACCAGAGACTGCGCACATAGTACAGATGACCAGAGACTGCGGACATAGTACAGGGGATGACCAGAGACTGCGGACACAGTACAGGAGATGACCAGAGACTGCGTAAACAGTACAGGAGATGAGCAGAGACTGCGGACACAGTACAGGGGATGACCAGAGACTGCGGACACAGTACAGGAGATGACCAGAGACTGCAGACATACTACAGGAGATGACCAGAGACTGAGGACATAGTACAGAAGATGACCAGAGACTGCGGACACAGTACAGAAGATGACCAGAGACTGCGGACACAGTACAGGAGATGACCAGAGACTGCGGACATAGTACAGGAGATGACCAGAGACTGCGGACACAGTACAGGAGATGACCAGAGACTGCGGACACAGTACAGGAGATGACCAGAGACTGCGGACATACTACAGGAGATGACCAGAGACTGAGGACATAGTACAGAAGATGACCAGAGACTGCGGACACAGTACAGGAGATGACCAGAGACTGCGCACATAGTACAGATGACCAGAGACTGCGGACATACTACAGAAGATGACCAGAGACTGCGGACACAGTACAGGAGATGACCAGAGACTGCGGACACAGTACAGGAGAAGACCAGAGACTGCGGACACAGTACAGGAGATGACCAGAGACTGCGGACATACTACAGGAGATGACCAGAGACTGCAGGACATACTACAGGAGATGACCAGAGACTGAGGGCATAGTACAGAAGATGACCAGAGACTGCGGACACAGTACAGGAGATGACCAGAGACTGCGCACATAGTACAGATGACCAGAGACTGCGGACATACTTCATGAGATGACCAGAGACTGCGACACAGTACAGGAGATGACCAGAGACTGCGGACATACTACAGGAGATGACCCGAGACTGCGGACACAGTACAGGAAATGACCAGAGACTGCGGACACAGTACAGGAGATGACCAGAGACTGCGAACACAGTACAGGGGATGACCAGAGACTGCGGACACAGTACAGGGGATGACCAGAGACTGCGGACACAGTACAGGGGATGACCAGAGACTGCGGACACAGTACAGGGGATGACCAGAGACTGCAGACACAGTACATGAGATGACCAGAGACTGCGGACACAGTACAGGAGATGACCAGAGACTGCGGACACAGTTCAGGAGATGACCAGAGACTGCGGACATAGTACAGGAGATGACCAGAGACTGCAGACACAGTACAGGAGATGACCAGAGACTGCAGACCTTTGGGGAGCGGGGGGCGGGTACCCAAATTTGACAGGTCCCCGCTCCCACTTCCACAGAGTTGTCCTCGTAGTCTTGTGGGACACGTGACAGGTCCCAGAAGACTACGAGGCCATTCACAAAGCGCAGCTCTTCTTGTGCATGCGCAGTGGGCACCCGGATGTGAGCGCCAAGCTGTTACAACCGGGTGCCCACACTGAAGATGTCAGCGCCGGTGAAGGCAGGACACCGCTGGACTGAGGAACAGGTAGGACCGAGTAGCAGGTTCTTCTTCACAGTACAGCCGAGCGGCCGGCCGGGTACTCTAACACGACGGTGGCAGCGGGGGGAATATCGGGCCAGCCATTCCATATTCGTTCCATAAGACGCACAGACATTTTCCCCCATTTTTTGGGGGGAAAAAAGTGCGTGTTATGGAGTGAAAAATACGGTAACTGTTTAATAAAACAGTTACATTCCTGGAATGCTGGGATTGCTAACTGTCACATTTGCTTGTGTTCTCAAACTGTCAAACTATCAAATGCCTGGTTTGGCAGTTGGAGATCAAACAGAAGCAGCTTCCTTGGCTGTAAAGGATAGGAGAGTTTACTGTAAGTCTGCTTTAAGATTGTAAGAAGATAAACCTCTACAAATTCAGCAGTGTCTAAAAATGCCTTAAAATGGAGAGCAACTGAGCATGTGCAGAGCAGAGTAGGGTAAGACGGTGTTCTACTGGATTTTACACAGTTGACACACTTAATTTTAATGTATTGCATAACTATACCTGCAAAAGGGGCCACCCTGAAGTGATCTAGCAGGACTTAATTTTCTGACTAAAGTTCCACTTTGAGAGAATACATTCCATAAGCATGAAAAGGCACTACAGTAGTAATAGTCAAGGTATACAATGAGGTAAATTCACAAATATCCATCCTCATTTTCCCAAATATTGAAAATATAGGGGGAGGGGGAGGAGCGAGGAGGCTGAGAAAAGGGTCCAAGGGTAGGGGGAAGAAAAGGAGAGGTCTGAAGGCAGCGGCCAAGTATACCTACCAAACACCATATGAAGGTGTAGAATAACCTGAGCCATGACCCCACTTACACAAACAATATGCAAAATGTGATTGGCATCAGACAGTAATCCCTTCAGCATCTATCCGGTTGGACCAAATTTTGGCAAATGTTTTTGGGCAGTTACGATGTGCCTATGTCAGATTAAATAGTGGGAGAGTCGCATTTATGGCTGCCTTCCAATCTGCCACAGTGGGAGGCTCAGGACTTTCCACTTGAGCAGTATGGTCCACCTAGCATAGAATTCCAAATAAAATATAAATAAATAGCTTAACTTAACAAGTGTGCACCATATTGTCTGTCATACCCATCAGAAAAATAAGAAGGTCTTGGCAATTGAAAGACCACCCATGGAGTTGATGGTAGACACCACATCATTCCAAAATGCCTGTATGCAAGGACAGGTCCACAGCATACACATGAGAGTACCTTCCTCCATAATACACTGCTGACAGGTGTTTGAGATGTTAAGATATATGTGAGACAGCCTCTGCAGGGTATAACAGACTCTGTGCAACAGCTTGAGCTGAATAAACCTATCACTAGCTGAGATCATATCAGGCAAAAAGTGATCCAAGCATTTGGACCAGTCCTCTTCAGTGAGAGAAGGAAGATCTGCGTGCCATTTCTGAAAGAGGCCCTCTAGCCTAAGCCCATTAGTGAAATTGAGCTCTGAGTAGCTTATCAAGGTCCTCTGTCACCAGAAGCTCCTTTAGTGAGGGGGAGGACAAAGAGACCCCATGTCAGAATTGCGTATTAGCTGCATGTCTGAGCGGGCATGGAAAAGCATATGGTTGGGTAGGCTAAAGGTGGTTCTTAGTGTCTAAAAGTTAAGGCAAGGGGCGCGGTTTCACTATGGTGGCGTGAAGATGCTCACCTTTGAGCTCTGCACGGATCGGGACAGATAATTGGTCAGACCAGCCTCAACGCCCAGGCGTTCTGGCATTCTGAGGGACCGGAGACATCAGCTGACCACTGGGAACATTAGGGGAGGTTAAATCACTCATTATTTCCTCCGCCAGCACTCCACGCACCCCGCCCATGGCCTCCCCTAAGATGGTGCCACCGCAACCTATCTCCACTGGTTTGGCCTAAGCCAAGAAGGTCTCGCTCCCCATAGGTCCACCCTTTGATGCGACCATGGAACCCCCGCCCAGTCTCCCTAATTGTCTCTCCGGTGCTCCCACAGGAGGACTCTTCCTCAAACCCCAGCCAGAATGGGGGACCAGACAGCTGCATGGAAGGAACTATCAGAGATCTTATGGCAGACTTTCCCACTAAGCAAGATCTACAGGCTATGGCTACCTCCATTGTCAATTTCTCTCCCATGAATTGCATGACCTACACCAACAAGTTGAAACCGTGGAGGAGAGGGTGACAGACTTGGAAAACTCTGCCACCACCAGTGACACCAGACTTGCCGCCTTTGAGACGGATCAGCAGGCCTTTCGCCACCATCTTATGGAAGTGCACCTTTGCCTGGACACTAAGCGAAAACCATAATACACCCTGTTCCAAATTATTATGCAAATGATATTTTTCTCATTTACCTAAATAATTGATGTAAATAACAGACAGCATAATTCTCATGTTATCAACTATTAAGAGTACAATTCAAATTTTATTGAACAAACCTCCTAATGATAACAGTATTTTTTTTTAAACATAAAACACTTACAATGCACTGTTCCAAATTATTACGCACAGTAAGTTTCAAAACACTTTATAGGTTGTAAAGAACTGAAAATTGTCATTTGTTGTGTTTGCAGCATATTTACTGAAATCAAAAGCTATTTCAATCAAACTTTTAACAACATTTTAACTTTTTAAACATTTTAACAGGTCACGTTACATTGTAACATAGGACCCCTTATTTGATAGCAGTTTCCAAAGTCTTGCATCCATTGAACTTGTGAGTTTTTGGACAGTTTCTGCTTGAATTTGTTTGCAAGATGTCAGAATAGCCTCCCAGAGCTGCTGTTTGGATGTAAACTGCCTCCCACCCTCATAGATCGTTTGCTTGAGGATGCTCCAAAGGTTCTCAATAGGATTGAGGTCAGGGGAGGATGGAGGCCACACCATGACTTTTCTCTCCTTTTATCCCCATAACAGCCATTGATGCAGAGGTATTCTTTGCAGCATGAGATGGTGCATTGTCATGCATGAAGATGAATTTATTATGGAAAGCATAGTCCTTCCTTCTGTACCAGGGAAGAAAGTGGTCAGTCATAAACTCCACATACTTTGCAGAGGTCATATTTACACCTTCGGGGGCTTAAAAGGGGCCAACCCGCTCTGTTCCCATGATTCCGGCCCAAAACATGACTCCACAACCGCCTCGCTGACGTCGTAGCCTTGTTGGAACAGGGTGGCCGTCCACCAACCATCCACTACTCTATCCATCTGGACCATCCAGGGTTGCACGGCACTCATCAGTGAACAGGACTGTTTGAAAATTAGTCTTCATGTATTTTTCTGCCCAATGCAGCCATTTCTACTTGTGAGCATTAGTTAGTGGTGGCCAAATAGAAGGTTTATGCACAGTTGTAAGACTCTGGAGGACTCTACACCTTGATGTCCGTGGGACTCCAGAGGCACCAGCAGCTTCAAATATCTGTTTGCTGTTATGTAATGGTATTTTAGCAGCTGCTTTCTTGATCCGATGCATGGATCTGGCAGAAATCTTCCTCAATGTGCCTTTATCTGCACGAACCCATCTGTGCTCTGAATCAGCCACAAATCTCTTAATAGTGCAATGATCACGCTTAAGTTTTCATGAAATATCTAATGTTTTCATACCTCGTCCAAGGCATTGAACTATTTCACTCTTTTCGGCAGCAGAGAGATCCTTTTTCTTCCCCATATTGCTTGAAAATGGTGCTCTGCTTAATAATGTGGAACACCGTCCTTTAGTAGTTTTTCCTTAAATTGGGTCAATCTAATTATCACAGGTGTCCGAGATTATTTTCAGTGATCAAAAGAGCCCTGACACACAATGCCATCCATGAGATAAACTGAAAACAAAATATTGCATCTTTGTGACACTTAAATAGAATTTGCATAATAATTTGGAACGCGGTGTAGGCGAAACAATCTCCAGCTTAGGAGGATCCCTGAGGCATGCCTGGATGCCACAGTGACAGCCATCCTCAATCAGCTACTGGAGAAGCCGCCCACAGCGGAGCTGGAACTTGATTAGGTCTTAAGCCCTCGTGCAGCCTCTTCATTTCAGGCGGCATCTGCTTCTCTACTGCGACACATCCTTTGCAGGGTGCATTTTTACATGGTGGAGAAATTCTCCACCAAGCCTGGATCAATGGCCCCATAGACTTTGACGGTGCCATGATTCGCATATATTCAGATGTTTCCAGATAGACCATACGGGGGATGCTCCGGCCCCTACTGGAGGTGATACGGGAGGCAGATGCGACATACCGGTAGGGCCATCCCTTCCATCTCATTGTCCGCAAGCAAGGCACTGAGTTGTTCCTGCACTCTCCAGACCAGCTGCCAGTGCTATTTGGTTTCCTGGCAAGCCTGTGGTAGAGGTACCCAACTAGCTGAACTATCTACTGTGCCCTGATGCCCCCGTACTTTCATGCCATGGCCTCAGAGGACCCAAAGACACCGTTCCAGAGCAACCAGCCGTGAGACCCCTAGGCAGGGACCTCCAGGCCTCTTCCTTTCTGAAGACTCACCAGACCCGCTCTCAACCTAGACCTCAGCCCTGACTTCTGTTTTTTCACCCATGGAAACTTCCACGCTCCTGAAGCACCATTGCTGGTTTCCTAACTGGTCTGGGTCCCCCGTGTTTGGCCTCTGAGGATTTTTGCACTCCTGGGCTCCCCTGTGGTTCCATTATACCCGGGGGGCTCCCTCCATCTCCATCCCCCCCTCCCACCATTGCTCACTCTGGGGCCCGAAGATCTGCACACCCCCTTTTCGAGCAGCACAGGGTGCAAGTTCCTTGGCCTTAAGCACTGTTCTACTGAGACCACCAGGGCAATTTCCATCCTGTAGGACAGACTATGGTCTTTCAGTTGCGGTCAACTATACTTATGTTTACAATTATTGCCGGTGGTATACATGAGGTTATGCCTGCCTGCTTCTACCATGCCTCTTTAATTTGGTATGGTGGGGGACACCAGGCTTTTCTGTAAAGTGTCGTTATGACCGCGGATGGACCTCCTTCCCCACCTGCCTTGAGTTTGTTATTCCCAGACCAGTCCCTGGTCCT